AGATACTTACCTTGCATACCACACACCCGCCGCAGCGGGTGTGTGGTTTGCGTGACTTCCTTGTTTTGTGCAGGCTATTGTTCGGCGGGTTTTCATGTGCCCTGGCTTTGGTTGGGCTGGTGCAGACGTTCGTTCAAATCATGACCTAGAATATTAAAATGTGTTAGTTAAAAATTCGAAAAGGCACAAAAGGAGCAGCTATCGCTGCTCCTTTTGCGCGGCTGTATCTATTGGGGGGGGGGAACTCACGTTAAACAGTGCCACACACCCACTGCAGCGGGTGTGTGGTTCCTGGGGCTACCCATTGGGCGGTCCATTGTTTGTTTGGTTTGGCTCTTGCCGTTCGGGCCCTCGTTGTGCGGCGGGTTTTTGTCTCGGGCCTTAGACCATAATCTAAAATAATAAAAGCTACGTCAGTATAAGAATTCGAAGTGGCGCAAAAAGAGTAGCTTGTGCTACTCTTTTTGCGCTATTTGTACCTACTGAGACAAAACTCACCTTATGACCACACACCCGCAGCAGCGGGTGTGTGGTCGTGTGTTCGCCTTTCTGGGCTGTTGCTGGTGTGGTGTGCGTAGCTGTGCAATTCAACGCCGGCAATTGCCGGTACTCGAAAAGCGCCCAAGTGCTGGTGCTACAAACATAATACATATTAGTAGCAAGTATCTAGACATGGAATACATGCTATATAATAAGTATTTATCCAAAAATGCGAAGAAGAAGATGATAATAAGTCAGAGCTCACTGAGACAATGAATTCCAATTTTGGCAAAGTGGATTGGGCCACTTCTATAGGTCAGAAATTAGCCCAAATTGAAATATATAATGGTAAATATATGCACCTACATGGCGACTGATTATATTGGACGATCCGTCCATTTTTTCGAATTTTTCGCACCCTCATTCCCTAATTAGGGAATTGAGGGTGCGAAAAATTGAAAAAATGGATGGATCGTCCAATATAATCAAGTCGCCCATGTAGGGTGCATATATACATTTAATATATTTTCAATTGGGCTTAATTTCCTGACCCTATAAAGTGGCCCAATTCCACTTTTGCAATTTAGGCATATCATGTCTTCAGTTGAGCCTCTTGACTTATTATCATTCTTCTTTCTTCGCATTTTGGATTTAATACTTATTATATACATGTTTATTCCATGTCCTATGATACTTGCCTACTAAGTATGGTATTATGTTTTGTTAGCACCAGCAACTGGCCGTTTCTGAGTACCGGCAATTGCCGGCGTTGAGTTTGCATCTTCCTCCGCATCTCCGTTACCACAACAGGCAACCGCCTGGAAAGGCAACCACACAACCACATGCCCGCCGCTGCGGGTGTGTGGTCACAAGGTGAGTGTTTTTATTAATAGATACAACAGCGCAAAAAGAGCAGCGAAAGCTGCTCTTTTTGCGCTGCTTTGAATTTTTTAACTAATGTGTTGTTTATTATACTAGATTGAGGCCTGCTCCAAGGCTCACAAAAGCCCATGAAACGACAAGGGCCCAAACGGCAACGCGACATGCCGAAACGCGCCAAACGGCAACGCAACACACAGCAACGCGTCAAACGAGGCGCGACGCGCCAAACGGCAACACGCCAAACAAGGACGCGACACACAGCAACATGATATACAGAAACCCACCAAACAAGGATGCGACCACGCCAAATGAGCCACACACCCGCCACGGCGGGTGTGTGGCACTATGTAAGGTGAGTCCCCACCCCCCCAGTAGCTACAGCCATGCAAAAAGAGCAGTGAAAGCTGCTCTTTTTGCACTGCTTTGGAATATTTTACTAATGTGTGTTTACTTATTTTAGATTGAGGCCTCGTCTAACGCACGACGAGAGCCCAAACGGCAATGCAACGTATGGAAATGCGACACGGCAACGCGACATACAGCAACGTGACACAGCAACGCGACCCATGGCAGCGCACCACGGCAACGTGACACACGACAGCGCGACACAGCAACGCGCCAAACGAGGGCGCAACCGCGTCAAATAACGCCCCAGGAATCACAACACCGCCACGGCAGGTGTGTGGTTCTATATCAGGTGAGTCCCTTCCCCCCCCCCGCTCCAGTAGCTTCAGCCATGCAAAAAGAGCAGCGAAAGCTGCTCTTTTTGCGTGGTGCTTATTTCTTAACTAATTTAAACATAGTATTTTGTAGGTTTCAACTTCTCTCATGAACGAATACTGACAAAGAACCCGCCGTAACCCCGCCTATCGACACCCGAACGACAGGGGACCCGTATGAACGCCGTGCGTACGAGCCCGCATATGTACGAGCCCGCGTACATGGCCCCAGTACCCTACACCTGCCGCAGCGGGTGTGGGGCACAAGGTATGTCTCATGTTTTGTTTTATTTCTTAGTCTTGTGGCGCAAAAGAGCAGCATAAGCTGCTCTTTTTGTGCTGCATTCATGTTCTACTAATATTTTATTCCTTATTTATCTAGATCCTTGACCAGAATCCCCGCGAGCCCCCAAGCAGAACCGGCTGAACGAGATGTGGCGAACGATAACTACGAACGAACCCCCACAAATGAAGACCAACCACTCGAGGGAGTGCCCAAAAGGAACCGGCCCCCGACTGCACTCGCTGCGGGGGTACAGTGGGTATATGCGGGCGCATGACCCGCATAAACCATCCCCCCCTGTGGTGGCAGACCCCGGGGGGATAATATGTATATAGCATAATATGTATATAATTATAGTAGTAATAATAATAATAATGATAATAATAATAATAAATAAATATATAATCTAGCACAGCCATGGATTGGCTGAAATGAATCGGAATGACTGTATTTTGGCCGTATTTCGGCCATACTGTCTGGGGACCTATTAGGTACCATTTTCTGCCCCGAAAATGGTACCTAATTAGGTCCCCAATTTAGCTGACCAGCCTGGGGGTCGGCTCAAGGACCGGTCTGGCTCAAGGACCGGTCAAAGACTGTAATGCTCATTTCTCGGACACCGTTCACCCCAAGATTTTCTTTTTTTTTTGACAGGGAAGCAGAATTTTGTGCTCAGAAAAAAAAAAGTGTAACAACCCGAACAGAATTGAGGAAGGCTAATGGTGCGATAATTTAACCACATTCTTTTCCTCCCATTTTTTGTCGTCATTCAACTCGAGTTCTCAGTAGCCGGGCCCGATTCGTCATGTTTGCCTGCCACGGCGGCGAACGTATGCCAGCACAATGGCTTCTGAGTGGACCTGCGTCTCTTCCTCACTGCCTTGTGCCAACAGAGGGTTGAACCGCCCCATGTATGCAGTGTCCGTTTCTTTGGAGATGTCTATCAAGACTCCAAATTTTGACTGTTTCTCCCCCATCTTCCAGTCTTACACCAAACGGCACGTGTGAGGGCTACCCGTGGAGCCCCGTCCTTCTAATAGCTTTCAATTCGGGATGTTTTCGAGTGGAAGCTGTCTCATCGCAATCGTACACCCCAACAACGATGATTGTTGCTTGCTATTGAAACCACTTGGGGGTGCGTCGGGAAGCCTTCAGGTGAGGGTGCCCTCGATCCCGATGAGATATGTAAGTCTTATGTGGCGATGAAAATTTTACAGGGTCTGAGGACCTGTCTGTTCTACTTGACCCAATCTTATCATTCTTTCTAGCTGACTCCCCTGCTCGGTACATGTCCACAACGAAATTGGATTGGATACCGGAAAGAAGCGGACACGAGACAATACGGACACGAGACAAAGACAGATACGCAGAGACGAGGCAAAAGCAGATACCCCCACAGGTACAGAATGAAATGAAGAAAACACAACAACCACCCCCTCAGGTAGTCACCTGCGCCTTCGATTGCATTGAATGAAGTCATCCTGGCGCGTCGCCTTTCAGCACCTGGTCCAGCATTCGCAAACGTTATGCTGGCTTGCCCCTCCGTGCTCTGTTGTCTGTCCCTGCACAGGTCGCATTCGGAACTGCTGCACCACTAATACCATTCACAACAGTTACAGTAAATGCGGTCTTGGCAGGAACTGTTTTGCAGTGTGGCTGAGTCTACGTTGTCCTGGAACAGCGCTCACAATACGCTGTCTCTAGTGCTGGGTCAACGTACGACCGCCTGTTTTTCAGCAAACTTAGAGTTGACGAGCGCCTTCCAGACTTCACCAGTGGCAGCCAGCATCCCCGATCGCGGCGATGACACAATCGTCGAAGGGCATCATCATACATCTGTTGAATCTCATCAGGTTACGGCAGGTGTGGCACAGTAGAACGCTTACAACGCCCATCTGGCTCGAACTGGGCCACCTGGAGAATGGGACTCGCCTGTTGCCACATGACGAGTGCAGCTGTGGTCAGTAGGAATGGGGATTGGACACTCGTTTGCATTTATTACATGAGCGGACGCCAGAAACAACTGAATGGTCCCGACGGAGGCGGTCACATAGTGGCTGTTGGAGATGGACCTGTCTTCGAGCAGTGTCGCGGTTCCTCCCTCAATTCTCGCCCTCCATTAACGGTGATTGGAGTGTTCGGCATGTGACAAGGCTGGTGAGGTCTGAGGTCGTCACGATGGCAAGTCCAAAGGCCACCACTAGCACAGCTGAAACATTCGAAGGACAGTAGATGTTGTCTGCTAGGCCATGACTCAGCTCTAGTGATTTCCCCTCTGTGAGGAAGTTTCAGTAAAGGGGGACTGCACGAAAAATGTTTACCAACAAGTTCTCCACAACTGATTGAATTAGATTCGCCCGACGCTCAAATTATTCAAACTTTGCTCTCAACGTAATATAGATCTTATTGAATAGCGTGCCCTGAGGCTCGATGAGTACACCTAGGGGTGTTGGGTTGTGGCTCCTCGGTGTCACCCCTCTGTACTGCGCTGTGAACATGTGGCTAACGAGTGTCCACTATAGGAGAGGGGCATCGTGGATGAACCCCGCTTCCAAATAAGATGATGGCTAATGATTGCAACCATAAAGAGGAATCCCAAAACTGGAACCACCCCCTACTGTAGTAGTTAATACTAAAGGGCCCTACCAGATTCGAACCGGTATCAGCATGAGTGACACTCATGTACTTTACCATTTAAGCTAAGAGCCCTTTCTTTTAGTGTTATTCGCCAACCCTCTCTCCTCTATGATAAAGATCAGAGAGAATAGAGATAGAGCCGAAGAACCTCGTGTGCCGTCAGTGTTTTGGGTAGTCTTTACTGGGACTAGCTGTACTGCTCAATGATATACTGGCGTCCAAGGTGGATCATTGTACAGCCCCTTTCATAACGATACAGAATAGAGGGTCGCGGCATACCCCGAATGAATGCGAAACTATGTCGATCAATGATCGGCTCCTGCAACGTCATCCTTCATGCGTTCTGAAATTGGGATTGCATACATTGCCTGCTATGCAGCTGGAATATTTACGTATATATACAACCATGCTCGCACCACATATCTAATGTTCAATATAGCGTGCTAAGGCAGTGTCCAGTTTCAATAGCAATAATGTCCGAGACAGCGAAGGGCCCGCCCATTCGGACAATACGCATTTTCTGTTCGTTACAGTAATGAAAGCTTTCATCTTGATTGATGGTTTGCGGTCCCCAAAGTGGACTGCGGCGCCCAAAAATTCTGTATTCCGTATCATTATGAAAGGGGCTGTAACTCCTGTGACTTTGGCGTAGATCCAACTCGCTGTCATTCTGAACTGAGTCACCCTCATTTTTGGCAACGGCGGGCCTCATGATGCATTTTCAAATACTGGTATGTCTCCACCGCCGTGACAAATGTATGTGTCTTTGGGAACGAGGTCATCATTTGCACTCATTTTCATTCACTTAAAACCGGCGGAAATACGTATATTTTCCATGCCTCCGTCTGATTACTGTAGTCCCCTTTGGTTGTCCTCAGCAATTTCTGCTGTATACCCTGTGGCCCCTTCGCCTTCTGTTGTGGCCCATGCGGGTCAATCGAGTTTCCATGGTTCCTATTGAAAATGATATACGGTTGTGGGTGTTCGAGGGGCGGAATTTCAATAAGAACTATGGGTATAGTTGAACATGACTTCCATTTTGACCCCCATCCTTGCATTGCGGGTCACTGGAGCAACCTCTATGGGACTAGCCCCTAAGTTAGTGGATAACCCTGAAAAAGGACCGGTGACCTGTCACTTTTGCACTGGATACCATGACCAAATTCTGACATGTCTTCAGGTATAAAGACCACAGGGGGAGCTGGCTGCCAATCCAGACTCGACTCGAATCTCGTCCCTCAGTCAACACTCTTACACATCCCCTGAAAGCAAGTGCCATTCACCTCGTTCATCGCATCATTTCTCATGGAGGTTTGCCGTATTTTGTAGCCTTCACACCTTTTATGATGTCTTCCCCTCAAGGCGTTCGTGACGGCCCTTTCATCAAATTCGAAGGTTGGGATGTCCCCGGCAATGACGTAGGGCAGTACTTCAAAGATCTCAGCGGCCATGCCAAGATCAATGCCCTGAAGGCCTTTGCATCACGGATCTCACTTCTTCGCCTTCAACAGCAATTGATGGTCCAAAACCTGGTCGAAGCTTGATAACAAGGGCTCTGTTAAGTCGCACGCTAGCACGCTTTATATCAGGGTTGAGTTTCCTGGCTGGGTTTTCCATCCAGGTAAGATATAAACTATCATACAGACAGTGGTCGAGGCGCTAATTCGATGGATTATTCTTAGGCTTAGACTCTCCTGGAAACGACCTCGGAAATGTTGGCATGACTGCAGTTCCTGCGATCATCCAGGCAATCAATAACCGCGCGAACCCCTTTGACGTGGTGGCATTCAACAACAATGGTTGGATCAAGAGTAAACTGGTTCACCCTGTTGCGAATGTTGGCTTGCTTGCGGGTTATTATGTTCGAGGAGATGTCGCGAAAGACTCGGAAGCTTAGGAAGGCGTAAATTGCCGAAATTTGTGATCATGTGCCAATGTACCATTAGCTGTTTGAACTGCCTACGATTCAGTGTCCTCCATCCTCCTGAAGGCGCCATGGTGTCCTGAGTCAGGTTCCTTACTGATGCTTCCCATCTAAAGCGGTGGTCCTTACGCCCTACCCATCGCAAAAACTCTCCCTGAATGATCGCGAACAAAAGGCATACAGTACTAGGCGCTAGTTTCTTTTTCCTCGAAGTAATAAACCGTTTTCCACGGCTCGCGTTACCGACACTCGTGTGCAAACCCGTGCAATCGGACAGTGCGTTTCAAGAAAGTCATCATGGAAACCCTAAGACAAGAGACAAGGAACTATTCCCTCAGCTTCAGGAATTAATTGTGAAGCCCCTCCTCAAAATCAAACATCGTCGGCGCCCAACACTAATTCTTCTTGACGCTCCCGGCGCGTGTGATGAAAAGTCTGCTCCGGATATTCTCCGATTTGTCCTTTCACTTGCGATTCAAATATCTTTCCGTGATCGCAAGTCGGCCACATCCTCACCTATCTTAGTATTCAAAAAAGTCACCGAGCCCCCGCAAAGACGGTTCTTTACGATATCGAAACCTCGATCGTTCAGCAAGACATCTACTTTTGCATCTCCACCGAGTTAGCCAAACCTGGATCTTCGTATGCCTGCCGATTAGGGGACCGAAGCCGAGATGAATCCGCTCGTCTCTTAGAAAAGTCAGGGAGGCTATTTGTTTATGCACTTACCGCAGCCCGCTTCATCGGCGACGATCGTATGCAATATGCTCTCCGACTCTAAGCCTCATTCTTAACCCCCAATCTGGCTAACAAGGCGCACTTTCGCGGACCCTCCCCCAGGATTCGCTGCGCTGGTCCGTCTAATATGAAAGAGAGGTCGTTGAGGCTACTTTGCGATATTTTCACTCTGTCATCACCCCACGGTCCAATATTCACGAATGCCTCCTGGCGGATGTAGGCTAGAATGCTCTGGTCTATGTATGATCCTCCGGGGCCAGCGGACGATCACGCGCCTCGTAGGATAATCGCTTCAGGATTCAAATCACTACGTTTCTCGGAGGACAACAGGTTGTCGTGCGTATTTTAAACCGAAGTCCTGATATTGTTAAGCTCGCCAGCACACCCGACCGCACCGACCGAGTTAGAATAATCAATATCTCATCCGAATCGTCAGTCGTCATCAGGTTTCCCACAAGCGTCGCAACTGCCAACTTATACCCCTGGAATCCCTTATTCGCGCTGACCCCACCTCGTGTTCTTCTTTAGTTCTCAAAAAATAATGCACGTCAGCCACACGTTTACTTCGTGATACATCTCCGGAAGCGCGAGAATCTCCTAGCAAAGGATGAACTCAAAAGATGGGATATCTAGATCGTTTATCGATAAGTTCACGTTTAGGGTTTTTTTTTACATTAGTGTTGGAACTTTCTTGGAGGGTTGTTGTTGTACTGTGTTTTTGGAAAACCAATTTCGTCCTTGGTTTTAGGCAGGACAATGACTGTGAGGTTATCTGCTGCCTTTGTTGCGGATTTCGTGGCCCCATTTCTATTCCGTATCGCTATGGGAGGGGCTGTACAATGATCCACACTCTAGACGCCAGTATATCATTGACTCCGTTTACAGTACAGCTAGTTTCAAGATACGCAAAGACTGCACAAAAAACTGATGCCGCCTTTTAGTATCAAGCACAACATCTGATTGATGACTCCAGTTTCTGGATTCCCCTTTATAGTGGAGATGATTAGCCACATGTTCACAATGTAGTACAGACCGAGGGGCCACAACCCAACGTATCTACATGTACCTATGGAGCCCAGGCGAGTCCCATTCTCCAGGTGGCCTAGTTTGAGCCAGAGGAGCCTTGTAAACAATCGGGGATGCGGCTGCCACTCGCGAAGTCTGGAAGCCGCTCGGAAACTTTAAGTTTGCTGAAAAAACAGGCGGTCGTACGTTGACCGGCACTAGAGACAGCATGTTGTGAGCACTAGTCGAAGACAGCGTGGACTCAGGATCTACAGACTGCAAAGAGTTCCTGCACACCGTGTTTACTGTGCTTGTTGTAATGGTACTAATGGTGGGACGATTCCGAATGCGATCGTGCAGGGACAGGCAACGAGGGCAAAGGGACCAGCAGTATAAACGTTTACGAATGCCGGGGAACAGGTGCCGAAAGCGACGTTCCAGGGTGACTTCATTCAGTGCAATCGAAGGCGCTCAAAGTCGAGGTGACTACCTGAAAGGGTAGATGGGCTTTCTGCATTTCATTCTGTACCTGTATGAGTATCTGCTTTTGTCTCGTCTCTGCGTATCCGTCTTCATCTCATGTCTGTGCTGTCTGGTGTCCGCTTCTTCCCAGTATCGAATCCAATTTCGTTGTTGACATGTACCGAGCACAAGCAGTCAGCTAGAAAGAACGATAAGATTGGATCGTGTAGAACAGACAGATCCTCAGACCATAAGTCGCCATATAAGACTTACATATCTCATCGGGATCGAGGGGCACTCTCACCGGAAGATATCCTGACGCACTCCCCAACTGGTTTCAACAGCAAGCAGGAATGTATCGTTATTGTGGTGTGCGATTACGATGAGACAGACATCCACAACTGAAGCTGCTAGAGGGACGGGAGTCCATGGGTAACCCTCGTGCGCCCCATATGGTGTGGGACTGGAAAATGCGAGAGAAACAGTCAAATTTTACAGACTAAAAAGATTGACAGACCTCTCCAAAGAAGCGAACGATGCATGCATGGGATGGTTCAAACTTCCGTTGGCACGAGGCAGCGATTATAATAAAGAAGGAAGAGACGCAGGCCGACTCAGAAGTGATACGTCCGTTGTCGTGGCAGGCAAGCACGACGAATCGGGCCCGGCTACTGAGGCGAACTTGAGTTAAATGACGGCAAACAATGTGAAGAAAACAGTGTGATTAAATTATCGCACCATTGAATAGATCGTCGAGCACCTTTTGGGTCCTTTGATCAAACCAGTGATCGGCACCAAATTTGATAAAGTCATGGCTAGTGACGGTTAACACATATTGTTAATATTCCTCAAGCATTGTGTGTGCACGATGCTGGGGGCCCAAGACTTTCAACGCGTCTGAGCCGATAACGGGAACAAAGCGAGATAGAGAGCGTGGGCCGGA